ACCCCCGAGTGGGCGCTGGGAGTTCTCACATGCCCTCTGTCCCCTCAGACCGCGCTCTCCCGAGCAGACCCACCGTCTCCACAACAAATCGCGAGTGAAGCGGGTTCAGGTTAAAATAGCTGCAAGGGAGCGTTGCTGTGGGATTGAACAGATAAGAGGTGACCTTAGGACTGTGGAGGTGTGGCACCGACTCCAGCTTTGTTTCTGGCCGAGTGTTAGTGTAAAGCAAATCCCTTTGCTAATCCCCGTTGAGGCCTTTGCGTTTCTAGCAGTGAGATAATGATAATTTTTGGCTTTTTATAGTATGTATTAATGTTCATACACTGAGGTACGTTTCCTATGTGTCATTTTATTAGTCCTGATTGGTATTTTTAGTCCCCATTACTGCATTTGAAAAAGGACAGAAAATGGGTTTTCTGTTGTTTATGCATCATGATCCACGTGATTAAATGGTTTAAAGAGAGCTGTAATGGCTGTTCTCTTGCTATCTAATTTACAGTGAGAAATGAAGCCTGATTTGCCTAATATTTTCTTGGTCTTATGTTTATTTCGTTAAACAGGATTCTGATGTAAGACCTGTCTTTAGAGGTCTCTTAGGAAATTAAAATTATCCTGTGTTCACACTGACAAGAAGTTCAACATATCCTTCCAGTGTTAGAAGAAAGATCATATGACTTCTTTCTGCAAATATGTATCTGCTACTAATCTTAGGCAAAAAACTCAGCCTGCCTTTGACATAACCCACAGTGAGTTTGGTACAGCCACTTCCAAGGGAAGAACGTGACTGTGAGCACCAGGGGCAAGCAAAGACATAAATAGTTATCAGAAGAGCTTTGGTTAGCCAATGTATATGCTGGTTTGAAAGACAAAAATAATTAACAATTCAAATGGAATTACTGCTAACAGAGCAGCCCTTTTCCTCAGAGGCCCTGGCTGGTTAAGTGCTTTTGTACATGGGGGTGGTCTCATAGTGTGTGAGCACTAGCCCAGAGGGAGACAGGAGATAAAAATCTTCCTGAAAATATTGGTACAGTTTCTTCCTTCCAGGATTTCTTCTAGGACTCAGGCATCATGTTTATGTGGCTTTTGTTTTATGGTGTGAGCCTGACACCTGCACCTTCCCCTCCAACAGACCCAGCTGAACCCCAGTGTGTCTGTCACAGCTCACACTGCAGCTCTGGGTACATGTTTTTTTCCTGAAAGGGCTTTTTTCTACTACAGAAGTTCACTGTTTCATTCCTGTGATGGGGAAAGGCCCAGAGAGCAGGGGAGAGGAGCTGCTCTCATTTTCCCATTTGCATTCCCAGAAGGTTTTGCCCCATTTGAGTCAGCTGGGGCAGTGAGGGCTGAGCTCAGCCTGTTGGGTGTTGTGGTGCATTGGGTAGGAAATGGGCAAAGAGGTTGATGCCTTGTGAAGGCTGACCTAGAACAGAGACTAGAGAGAGTTAAAGAATAAAGTGGGTGTTTATTAGAAGGCCTCAATGGATACAGCTTGGGCAGTACAAAAGCCCAACCAAGATGACCCCAGAATGGTCACGAAATGGATGACCAGTCATAGAGTCTGACACTTTTATAAGTTCTGGTCCATTACCATATTGGAATTAATTGTCCAATTATATCTTTAGCTTATGAAGTCCCACCCTTCTTGTTTTTCTCTCTTCAGTGGACTGTTGTTTATGCTCTTTGGGCCTGAGATTTTGATCATTTGTCCTTGGTCCCCAGCTAGAGAAGGAATTGTTTTGTCTCCCTACTCTGCAAAGAGAGCTCACTATCCCCTAATATGAAGCTCAGAACTACACAGTAAAGCAGTACAGAATCTGAAAAATATAAAAGCTAAAACCTGGGGCATTAAGGTGGGCTCCAGAGTAGAAATCTGCCAGATAGTCACAGCCCCTATGCAACATCCCAAATTCCCTACAGGTTCATGGAGAGGAGCCCCAGTCCAGTCTGCAGAGAGATACGTAAAACTGAGTACACATGTGGAGCGTTAAGCTGGACCGAAGTACAGATCTTGAAACTTGTTACCTGCACAAGAATTTTCTGTTTGATACCAGTCTCTCTTTGTGATCCTGTTTGCACTTTTTCCAGGGCAAGAAAATAATGAAGAAAATCTGCAGCTCTTGTTTGAGGGTTCTGTAGTCATCCAAGCATATGGAGACATTTTGTGTGTCTGAGAGTAAAGCAGATGCTCACTTCTGAGTAGATTTTGGAGATATTGTTGCAATGCAAAAAAATAATTGCTAACAATTCTTTCATGGATCAGCATTTGCCATTACAGGGAGAATTGACCAGAACTTAAATACCTGCTCTGAAGAGATGAGAGAGCTCAGTCCATCATCACTGTATATGCCTTCCCTTTCCTCCTTAGCTGTTACCCATTTCTTCTGCTGCTGCCATCACAGAGTCCATTTTTCATGTCTCAGCTACGTGCATTGCATGTTCCTCATGTTTGTATATAAGCACCTGTAATTCAGGATCTTATGATTAATCTACAAACCTGATTAACTCTCAGTAAACACTGCTGCAGCTGACTTGTTTTTCATGTGGACTCTGAAAACAGGGAATACATGGAAGTCTTATACTACTGGTGCTTTGTATGTTTCTCTGTGTGTGTGACCTCCAGTCAAAAGCCCTACCATCCAATCATAATCTTTCTGTATTCCCCATGCCTTTTGAAACAGCCTCAAGCTGTGACACTGTGATAAACAGAAGTGAAACAATGCTATTAAAAATGCATGATGTGTATTCTGCCATATTAGATAACGTGGCCTTGTTCAACACGCACTAATGCTGCCAGTTCACAGCTTTGCCAGTGCAGTCTCCCTCCCACATCTGATTTGGACAATTTAAGAGGATTTTTGGCTTCAATTCACCTTTCTTCCTTTTCACCTTTGTTTTTTACGTTTATTAATTTCTCTGAAAATGGTGGTCTGCAGTATGGACTGGATGTTGCTCATGTTTCCCAGCTTTCCTAAGCTGTAATTCACTAAGAAGCCAAACTGGAAAACAGTTGAGGAGGTTTATAAACACTGTTTTAGTGGAAAGCAGATACCCAAGTCCCTTGTTCTCTCTGAGGCCTCTGCTGCACTTTTAGAAGCTGTCACCCTTCCCTTTTGTGCCATCAGCTTATCCACAGCTTGTGCTCACCATCCTTTGCCACTGTGACAGTGAAGAGTTCTGCTCCCTCAATGTCTGCACCCTTTTAGGACTCAGAAAAGTTCACCAGCCTGGTTCTTCTCTGTCAGTGGAACCCAGGCCTGTCACCGTTTCAGTTTTGCAGCATTAGAATGATAGCAGTGGGCAGGACACCTGGATTTACCTCTGGAGCTGCCCCACTGTGAGGGCAGGGCCAGCCGGGGTGAGGTGTCTCCCACAGCGTGCTGCAGCTCTCTGCCAGTCCTGCTGCCTGAGCTCTGTGGGCATGAGTCAGCTCTGGTCCAGGAGCCATCTGGCCGAGCAGCGCCGTGCTGAGCTCATCAGGCTGCTCCCGGGAAAGGTTTCTTCACTCAGGCAGAACATTCGCAGCACCTTGGCACTTCATCCGAGTGCTGCCAGGAGAGAGGTGGGAAGTGGCCATTCACGTAGCTCCAAGGTCTGCACTTCTTCACACCCTCCCAAATGGAGAACGAGCTGTAAAGCCGTAGATACTGGACAGAAGGGTGACTCAGTCCAATGTTGGGAGAGTGTGCTGTGGTACTCTATCAGGGCAGACAGAGTCCTGAGCTCTTGTTATCCTGGC